TTGACCATGGACACTGGGAAATAGTTCCTCTAAACAAGATTTTCCTTTCCTGACAGGTGAGTCACACAGAGAAGTAAACTGTCAGGGAACAGAGTGGGTGGTTATTTAGGCTTAGCCATGGTGGTATTGTAATCCAGGACGCTAGGCCTAAGACTAGGTGGCCAGCGACACCGTGTTTGACAGGATTGATGCTTCTTTAGAAGGAGGGTTGATCCTTCATTAAATGAATGGACTCTCCCTTTAAAAAACTATTTGGGCAAGTGGACAAATGTGGTACATAGTAACCTGGAAGTCTGGGGGGTGTCCGCTATTTTTCCTTTCCCTTCCCAAGTCTAATTCATTATCAAGTCCTGTGATTCCACTTTCCAGAGATCTGTCACATCTGTATCCAAAGCTTTCCTCTAAGTAAATATTTGTTTTAATCATTCTTTCCCAGAATATGGTAGTAGCCCGTTAACTGGCTGCCCTGCCTCCTGCTTGCCCTCTCCTGTGTACCTTCCACAGGATCTCTAGGAAGATCTTTCTGAAAAGATCAAATATGGTCATATCATGATCCTTCAGCAGCTCCCTATTACCTGTGAGTAAAGTAGAGGCTCCCGCAGGATCCAAACCCAGCTTCCCTGCCCCAGCACGCCCCCTGCCCTGCATGCCACCCTTCACTCTCCTGACCTGCTTGGAGCTCTTCTCTCTTCCTTGCTTTGCCTCTGCCTGGAATATGCTTCTCCCTCTGTCCACTGAGGGAACTCGTGTTGGGAGGCCCAGACCAAATATCTTCTACTCTGTCAAATCTTCCCCAGCCTTCCCCCCATATCCATCCAGCAGAATTGAATCCTCCCTTCTTAGCCAGCCCTGGAGCTTGTGTAGCCTGGACCACAGTACTTTGCACACTGGGTTTCTGGGTCTAATGCCACTCTTGCTCCAAGGATGGTACTAAGCATATAGTAGGAGTCAAGTAAGTGTTTGTTGATTGGCTGATTATAGCAGAAATGGGAGGTTGAAGACTTAGTTCCACTGAAGCAAAGTGCTGGGAGAGTGGCATACCTTTTATAAATATAAGTTCATGATATGTTCTGGCTGCAATCTTGACAGGATAACTTGCCATGGAAGCCGTCTCTTCTCCTTGTTCTCCGTTCCCTACACTCTGATCTTACGCGTCTGAGAAATATGATGACCTGGCTATGAAATGAACACCTGCTTCTGTGTACCATGTCGTTCCATCCCCTCCACCCCCTGCACTTACCTGATGAACAAACCACTTATTTCTTTACACTTTGAATAAATATAGCCACAGAAACCTTAAAAAGCTCCCCTTCCCCCACTAGATTACCTGACTTGGTGAGTCTCCAATGCCCTTCACCATTGCTAAGTAATTGATCACGTCATCCAGCTCAGACCCAGGTTTTCTGAAGTCAAAAGCTATGTTCTTCCTAATATACCACCTTGGCTGATGTGTTCTCTTACACCACTGCTGCTCACACTTGGGCTAAGGAGCAATAGTCTTCAGTCAGTTACTTCACTCATTGATTCATTCTTTCTTCAAACTGCTAGATAATGAGACATGTCATTCTACCCAAAGGACCTCAGTCTAGTGGGAAGAACATACTTGTAACTGAGTGATTATAAGATAGAGACAAATTACCATGGAAGCACAAAGGAGAGCTTGACAAATAAGGAGTCAGGGAAGCCTTCCAGGAGGAGGTAATATTTAAGCTGGGTCTTGAAAATAAATAGGTGTCCTCAAGAAAGAGAAGAGCATTCTAGGCAGAGGAAGCAGCAGAAGTAAAGCCCTGAAAAGGCATGGCAGGTCTGAGAAATTGAGGACTGGTATGGCTTAAGCCACTAGATGCTTAAAGGCTCAGGCGAGGAGACCCCTCTCTCTGAGGAGTTTTCTTCTGAGATGAGGCTTGGTAGGAAGTGCAAGTGCTCCCTACAGTTGCTAAGGCCCACTCTGCCCCACAGGTGCTCCCACGGCTGAGTGAGGTTCCCAGGGCTGTCACCACTCCCACCCACTCCCACCCTCCTTGGTGGGTGGCATCCCAGAAGGAAAGAGGCAGGGGAGGAAGCAGATAAGAAAGACAGCTTCTGTTTAGACACAAATATCTTGGTAATCAGCACAGATGGGATGAGAAATACCAAAAAAAGTACATGACAGTTTAGAGAGAATTTGGCTAAATGTTACATATTTTTAATATACCTGTGTAGAGTTTTTGGAAGAAGCACCTGAATCCCTCGGAACCTGATTGGACCTGGGGGTTATGCCTCAACCAAGTGGTGTTTTTGTTTCAGAAATGTTCCCTTCCGCATCCTCAAAAGTACCCTTGTGATTTTTTTTTCTCCCACCAAAATAAGGCACAGGATTTGTCTCTGACGCTGTGTCTCCCTATTTGGATGGCAAGCTGTGTAACATATTTCTACCCAGCGTGAAGCTTCTTGGCAGACTCTTGAGGCCACGTTTTGGTGGCTTCAGAGTTATCTTTGGATCTGTCAAAAGTGCTAATGGGCTTTCTGGCCTTCTTTAAGCTCCTCATTTCTATTTTCTTTTTACTTCCATCCTCTCCTAAAAGAAAAATTCATGTAATTCATCAGCAGTTAAGCATTTTACTGAAATGCTCAGCTGAGGGCCTTGTATTTTTGTTTGCGAGAATAGCTCTGCCATGTCACTGTCTTCAGAACAAACCCCACCCTGACATCATTAGCTCAGCACTCCTCAGGCCACCAGCGAGATATATACTTGTTGATGAATTCAGACTGCCTTTTTTGTTTGTTTTGTTTTTCAAATTTGTTAAGAGGCAAGTTGATGTGGTGGTTAGAGCAAGAGTTTTAAATTCAGGAGATCTAGTTTTGAAACTTGGCCCTTTCTAGCTGGGTGACCTTTGCAAGACGACTTAACCTTCTTGAGCCTCAGTTTTCCCATCTGTAAAATGGAAATAATGCCTTTCTCATGGTTGTTGAGATTAGAGAGAACATAAGCAAAATAACTATTGTCTGGCACATAAGGATTACTCAATAAATGGGATAACAATAATTTTTAACAGAAACATTTTTTCTCTTTCTTTGAGCATACTTTGATCCTGCTTTGTTCCTATGCTATGCTTTCTTTTTCCAAATACAACTTTTACCTGCTATTTCTAGTAGTATAAAAAAAAAAAAGTGGGGCTGGCCCGGTGGCGTAGCGGTTAAGTTCATGGGCCGCTTCGGCGGCCTGGGGTTCACCGGTTCAGATCCTGGGTGCACACCTACTCACCGCTCATCAAGCCATGCTGAGGCGACATCCCACAGAGAAGAGCTACAACTATGTACTGGGGCTTTGGGGAGGAAAAAGAAAAAGAGGAAGATTGGCAACAGATGTTAGCGCAGGCCAATCTTCCTCGAAAAAAACAAGAAGCCAGAAATCTGGGAAAAAAAAAAAAACAACACAGGCTTAGAGACAAACCCACCCAAGCCTGAATAATGCCTTATCCACTTACTGTACAACCTTAGTCAAATTACTTGACTTTCTCTGTGCCTGTCTTCCTATCTGTATGTAGAGAGAATAATACCTGTTCAGGAGTGGTTTCAAGATTAAGTGAAATAATATATGTAAATCCAAGCCTTGTGTATTGTAGATATTTAAAAGTATTTAAGAACAATGTAATGTAAGGGAAAGTGTATGGACTATGGAGTTGGATCTGAGTCCAAAATCTGACTCCACCAGTTACTGCATCTCTCCCAGACTTACTTTATCTAGACACTGGAAAGAATAATACCTCACTGGATTTTTGTGAAGATTGCATAAGATTACACATACAAAGGTACCTGGTACAGTGCCTGGTACTTGGTAGGCAGTCAGTATATGGAGCTATTAATTCACTCACTCTGTTTATAAGGGCCGATGGTTAACCTGGTACTCCAATCAAACAATAATAAATCATAAGATAAGTGCCCATTCTTATTCCCAACCCACAGTATTATTGAAAAGCACTTTATGCTATTTTGCATCTAAAATCCACCTGGTTAACTTGAATTTATGGGTTACAGATCTTTCATCATTATAAACTGCAACCCCTGGCAATAGCATTCTTCCCTCCCCAACACCCTTCGTTTTCAGAGGATTATATTGTGTGGCATTGAAAACCTGTAACATTGAAGAAATTAGCATATTCATGTGTATTATTAAAGTCAGGTGGGTATAGAAAGGGTTGCAGAAATGAAACACATTACATTTTTTCTGAAATCTGAAGAGTACCAATCTATAGTACTAATTAAAGGACTGAAGCCCAGGCTACAGACAAGAGCTAGTTAACACACTGCTTGGTCACAACTTGCTGCTGCTTGTCTTCGATTTTTTTTTCCTTTTGAGTGAAATACCTGGAAATTGTAAATCTTCCAAATTGCTTTAATTCCAGCCGAGCGGTTATAGAGAATGTAAACTGTGGAGGAGGGGGACACCAGCGGTGATGACAGGAGAGGAGCATGCCCGGCCTTTGCGGGTGGGATCTATTGGACAGAAACAGGCTCTGTGCCAGAAACATTTTGGTCCCTGGGTACTTTCTTTTGCTTAGACGTATGGCACAGTGCATTGGGCAAGTTCTAGGAGCTGAGGTCAGAAGATCTGAGATACAGTCCTGTCTTTATCACTCATTAGACTTTTTGATCTTGGCATTTCTCTCTGAGCCTTGGTTTCCTCATTTGTAAGATTGCAGACTTCCTTCCTATCCTGCTCAGCCTTCGGAACTGCTATGAAAAACAGCACAGCGCTGTAAATGACCTCATGTTGTAAACTGTAATCACCACACAGAGATGTAATTGCTCAGACTGCTTCATCTCGAAGGGCTCTTCCACCTTTACATTTCGTGATATTGTACATGACTGGGGTTTGGTCTCCTGGGTAGAAAGAATAGGACGGGGAAGAGGAGAGTATACTTTCTGATTATTTTCTGTTTCTCGTGCTTTTATTGGATACTGCTTGTAATAAGAACAAACAAAATAAGCCACAAACCTCCCCTTCTTCTTTCTCCTAGAGAAACCTGACAGAATATTTTGTGGCTGTGGATGTAAACAACATGTTACACCTGTACGCCAGTATGCTCTACGAACGCCGGATACTCATCATTTGCAGCAAACTCAGCACTGTGAGTAGACAGTCTTGAGATGAGTCTTTAAATTATTTTATTTTAATTGAAAGACATATCAGAAAGATTAAAGAAAATTTCAGATAAAGAAATCAGCCACAATCCCCTCAGATAGTAACATGTCATTTTCATTAATTATTCATGTTCCTTTACAGTGCCAATGCACGTTTCATTTATTCTTATAGTTTCACAATCAATTATAGTTTTCCATTTGATCGTGTGTAGTGAACACTTTGTATATTTCCACATAAGCTTCCATCATTGTCATTTTTTTTGTCTATATCATATTCCATTATACTGATGTGTCATCATTTACTGAATCTTTCTTCTCTTGATGGACATTTAGATTGTTCATAGTTTAATGCTTTGGTAGATAATACTGCAGTGAACATCTTTCATCTGCTTTTGATGAAAGAGTTCATTTTCTAAGGAGTGGGACCACCAGGTCAAAGGACTTGATAAGCACTATGACTTACAGACTGCCAGATTGCTTCCCAAACAGGCTGTGCTTGTTGATGGTGAATGCTGCCAGCTGTATGTGAGTGTACCATTTCACTGCAGCCTTGCCAGAATTGTGTGTGTGTGTGTTCACACATATGTGTTTTAATTTTGCTAATAAAATAGGCATAAAATGGTATTGCAGGTAGGCTTTGTTTTTAATTTCTTTGGTTAGAGGTAACTGAATATTTTCCATAGATTTATTTCCTCTTTGTATTTTGGTATTGTCTTTTTCCATTTGTCTTATAGGGCTCTTGAGGGTTTTTTTTTCCATAAATTGGAATGAGTTCTTTTTATATTGTAATAACTTTTGCAATATGTATAATATAACTATTTTTCATATTCTTTTCATTTTAGTTTTTTTAACTTGCTAAGTATATTAGTTTATATTTTTACCAATATTCTATTATGAAAATTCTCAAACATAGAAACTTGAAATCGTTTTACAACAAACACCCATATAATTCTATCTAGATTCTGCCACTAACATTTTACTATGCTTGCTTTAACACATATTTATTCATCTATCCATCCATTATACCATCCATCAATCCATCTTACTTTTTGATGCATTTCAAAGTAAATCACAGACGTCAGTATACATCACCCTAAATAATTGAGAAAGTATGTTATTAACTAAAGTTCAATATCTGTTTACAGTATTTTTTTCTTTTGAGGTAAAACTTACATACAGAAATTGACTGGGAATGCCTAACGGGTGCCTCTCTGTTAGAGAGAGTAAAAGACCTTCTTAGAGTGGGAATTTCCCTAGTGAAGGGCCTATGGATAAACTCAGTTGTGTATTTACCTACGAATACAAGGCACCTAATAATGAAAACTTCGTGAGGCTATTAGAGAGATTTTTCTTTATAGTTTTCATCAGAACTTCATTATTTTATTATTTCTTTGGCATTTTTTGCTTGTCAAGAACTCATAATTTTTGCATTACCTACTGTGTGCTAGGCTCATATCACATAGTAGATGATGATAGCATGGCCCTTGTCCTCAAGGGAAAAATAGCACACAGTAGACCCCTTGCTTTGTTTTGCTTTTTCTTTAAATTAGAAGTGCAGTTCATAATCTCAGGTCCTGAACACCCAGGCTGAGTTTCAGAATGCGAGTATTGCAACCAGATTTAACATGGCATCTTTATGGGGCTGAGTAGAATAAGAGTGCATTTGTCCATAACCAGTTACTGTTGCTTTGGAGTATTAAACTTCATTAAAAGAAAAACAGGATATCATATCAGTGGGACTGAATTCCTTGTAATGTAATCATGATATTTTTGAGCCCTTAATATGTGCCAGGCACTGTGCTAAGCACTTTGCATCTATTAACTCGTTTAGTCCTCACTACAACTGTTTCTAGTAGGTTCTGTTATTACTTCTCTCTTACAGAAAAGGAAGAGTACACCTTTTGTGTGATTTTGTTTAGATAAATGTGGTGGATTAAACAAACGCAGTTATTTCTGTTCCTTCCCCAAACTAAAATGAAATAAAGGAATAAAGCAATAAGCACAAAGAGCAGATGCAGCAGAAATTTAAAAAATAGGAAGAAAATACTGCTGTCAACGTTATGCCAATATAAAACTAGGGTGAAATGGACAGAAAAATATAATTTGCCAAAATTGAATCAAGAAGAAATAGAAAAATTGAATGGATCATTTAATTTATAGAAATCGAATCAATATGTAAAAATTTTTTTACAAAACACTCAGCCCAGATGGTTTTACAGGTATGTTTTATCAAACATCTCAAGGAATAGATAATTTCAATCTTAGACAGACACCTTAAGTGTCTAGAAAAAAAGAGAGAATACACTCCACCTTTTCTTGTGACACTTGTATAACCTTGACATTCAACCACACAAGGAGACACTACAAGAAAAAAAATTCATCAGCCAATCACACTCATTAACATGGCTGTAAAAGTAATAAACAAAATAGTAGCAAATGTATAAAAGATGTAATTCGTAATAACTAAGTTGGGTTTATTCCAGAAATGTAAGGTTGATAATCCTAGAAAACCTATTAATATAATAATTACTAACTTATCACATTAACATATTAAAGGAAAACTCATGTGGTCACCAATAGACAGAGAAAAAGCATGACCATGTTCATTAATAGGAAGACCCAATATATTGAAGATGTCGTTTCACTTCAAAATGACCTATAGATTGCATACAGTTCCATTCAAAATCCTAATAGGATTTTGCATGGTACTTGGCAAACTGATTATAAAATTAATACAGAAAAGCCAAAGGAAGAGCCAAGACATACTTGAAGAAAAAGAATGGGTTATGGAAGCTTGCTTTACCAGATATCAAAACTTTTTATAGAGCTATAGTAATTAAGACACGAATAATGGCAGAGGGATACACAAATAGACTGATGGAACAGAATAGAGATTGCAGAAACAGACCATGTGTACGAGCTCTTTGTATACAACAGAGGTGGCATTGTACAATCTGGGGAAACAGATGAACTTTTCAGTAATTGCTTATCCACATGAGGAAGAAAAGGAAGACAATTTTTGTCTTAACACCACATGCAAAACAATGCCAAATGGATCAAGGATTTAAATGTGAAAGGCAAAATTTTAAAACTTTTAGAAGACAAAATAGAATAATCTTTATGATCTTTGAGTAGAGACAGACTTAATTAAATAATCCAAAATATACATTGTATAAAGGAAATGATTAAAATTGTGAACTTTTGTTCATTAAGAGATGCCATTCAGAGAATGAAAAGACAAGTCACAAGCTGGGGTGGGCTATTTGCCATATAAAAAATTGACAGAGGGTTAATATCTGAAATATATAAAGAAGTACTGTAGTTAAAAAGCAAAAGACAAACCTATCAATAGAAACATTGGCAAAAAGCACAAAAAGGCTTTTCACAGAAGAAACACAAATGGCTAATAAATATATGGAAAGATGCTCAACCACGTTAGTAATCATAGAAAAGCAAACTAAAACTATAGCGATTAAAGCACTAGGTTTGCAAAAATCAGATGTCTGATAAAGCCAAGTGTTATTGGAGATGTACTGGAGAATTTCACATACTACACTTGGAAAAGTATGTGACACAAAACTGTTTACGTATGCCCAACACTTAGCAATTCCATTCCTGGGTGGAATTGTGTGTGTGTGTGTGTCTGTGCTACCTACATACACTTCTTGGTCATGTATAATGGGATACATGTTCAAAGCAGCATTGTTTTTTTTGTTTTTGTTTTTTAAACCTGGAAAGAGCCCACATGACAATCAACAGAGAACTGATACATTGTGATGTAGTCATACAATGGAACACTGTATCAGTGAAAATGAACTACTCTAACCACATGGTTGGGTCTCTAATATAGAATTCTGAGTAAAAGAAGGAAGCTGCAGAAGAATATACAGTATGATTTCATTCATATAAAGTTCAAGTAAGAAAAACTAAATGGTTTTTCTTGGGGATACATATAGGCTATAAGGGGAAAAACAGAAATGATTAACACAAATTTAGGTAGTAGTTTCCCTAAACGGAGTGAAGAGTGTAGTTGGGAAGAGGCATACAGGGAACATCAAAAGTATTGTTTTCTGTCTTGAGCTAGGTTAGGGATCAGCCAACTTTTCTGTAAAGAGTCAATAGTAAATATGGCTTTGTAGGCCATGGTCTTTGTTGCAACTACTGGACGCTGACCTTGTAGTTTACAATCAGTAAACTAGTGGGTGTGGTTGTGTTCCAACACAGCTTTATTTACAAAAGTGAGAGGCAGGCCAGACTTGGCCCTCAGGCTGTAGTTTGCCAACCACTGAGTTAGGTGCTGGGTTTTGGAGTCTTAAGTTTTTTTTCCTTTAAAAGTTGCTTATATGGGGCCAGCCCAGTGGCGTAGTGTTTGAGTTTGGTGTGCCCTGCTTCGGCAGCCCAGGTTTGTGGGTTTGGATCCTGGGAGCAGACCTACACTGCTCATTGGGCCACGCTGTGGCAGTGACCCACATATGGGATGGAAGAAGATGGGCACAGATGTTGGCTCGGAGCCAATCTTCCTCAAGCATAAAGAGGAAGATTGGCAATAGGTCTTAGCTCAGGCCCAATCTTCCCCATCAAAAAAAAAAAGTTGCTTATATGCATACTTTTATATGTTTGTATATATATATTTCAAAATTTTTTAAAAGTTTAAAAAGAAGATACCAAGCCCCTTTATCATGAAATTTTACAATACAGGGGTAGAGACAAAGTAGGTTCTTGTACAGAGATTAAGAATCAAAATTGCATGAGATTTTGCTGTGGTAGTTGTAGAAACCAGAGGACAGTGAAGCCATGTCCTGAACTTCTAAGGGAAAATTATTTCCAACCTGAAATACTGTACTTATGTAATGGAAGCCCTCAGAAGAGAGTGGCACGAGCCCCTACCACACCGATCAGCCTCCTGAGGTCTCTGCTCCTCCAACCTGCCTTCTCCATTGTGCATGAACTGTCTGGCCTCTCTAAGGCCAACCTCTCTGCTTGTGTA